AGCAAGGGGCAAAGGAGGATTACACCTCCATTGCCTGGGACTGCAGGGAGATTGTTAGGAAGGACAAGGCAGAGATGGAGCTAGGGCTAGCAACCAGACTTAAGGATAATAAAAAGTCCTTTTTCAAATACATAGGAAGTAAGAAGGCGGCACCAGATAACGTGGGGCCCCTACAGGATAGGCTTGGCAATCTAGTGATTATGGCAAATGAAAAAGCTGACTTTAATGAATTCTTTGCCTCCATATTCCTGAACAGGAACTGGGACATCTCCCCCACTAGAATTGCCAACAGACCCAGGGGAGGCACCACCATGGCTAGGGTCAGGGATGACCTAGTTAGGGAACTTCTGGAGGGGCTGGATGTGTTTAGATCAGTAGGTCCAGATGCCCTTCACCTGAGGGTGCTGAGGGAATTAGCGGGGGTCATAGCAGGGCCCCTGGCGTGGCTCTGTGAGTGTTTGTGAGGCACTGACCAGGTACCAGAGGATTGGAAAAGGGCCAGTGTCCCCATTTACAAGAACGGGAGAAAAGAGGACCCTGGTAATTATAGGCCAGTCAGTCTTATCTCAGTCCTCAGGAAGACCTTTGAGAAAATCATCAAGGAGCACATCTGCAAGGACCCAGCAGGGGAGGTAATGCTCAGGGGCAACCAACATGGGTTCACTGAGGGCAGGTCCTGCCTGACTAACCTGGTTTCTTTTTATGATCAGGTCACAAAGTCCCTGGATGAGGGTGTCAGGATGGATGTTGTCTTCCTGGACTTTAAGACCTTTGACATGGTTTCCCACCACATTCTCTTAAAAAAAACTTGGTGACTGTGGCACTGATGCCTACACACCCAGACAGTGGTGGTGGACGGGTCATTTTCTACCTGGAGGGACGTGGGCAGTGGAGTCCCCCAGGGCTTGGTCCTAGGGCCCGTACTGTTCAACATCTTCATCAATGATCTGGACGTGGGTGTGGAAAGCACGCTGTCCAGATTCGTTGACGACACTGAGTTGTGGGGCAAGGTGGGCACACTGGAGGGGAGGGACAAAATCCAACTAGATCTAGACGGGTTACAGAGGTGGGCGGATGAGAATAGGATGGAATGCAACACAGACAAGTGCAAGGTGCTGCATCTAGGAAGAAGGAACCAGCAACCGACCTGGAGGCTGGGGAACACCCTTCTTATCAACACATGGCAGAAAGGGATCTTGGAGTCATTGTTGACTCCAGGATGAACATGGGCCACCAATGCGAGAAAACGGTCAGTAAAGCTGTTGCATCACAAACAGGTCGAAGGAGGTGATCCTCCCCCTCTATGTGGTGCTGGTCAGGCCACAGCTGGAGTACTGCGTCCAGTTCTGGGCACTGCACTTCAAGAGGGATGTGGCCAGCATGGAGAGGGTGCAGAGGAGGCCACTCGCATGGTCAAGGGGCAGTGGGTCAGGCCCTATGAAGAGAGGCAAAAGGGCCTGAACCTGTTCAGCCTCCACAAGAGAAGACTGAGAGGGGACCTGGTGGCTGTTTACAAACTCACCAAGGGGGACCAGCGGGAATTGGGGGAGGCTCTGTTCCCCCAGGCACTGCCCGGGGTTACTAGGAGTAACAGCCACAAATTTTTAGAGAGAAGGTTCAAGCTGGACATCATCAGGAGTCATTACTTTACAGTTAGGGCTGCCAGGCTCTGGACTGGGCTCCCAAGTGAGGTGGTACTTTCTCCAACCTTGGGGGTCTTCAAGAGGAGGCTGGACAGGTATCTGGCTGGGGTGATATGACCCTGGCACCCGTTCCTGCCGGGTGTAGGGGGTCAGACCTGATGATCTGTTTAGGGCCCTTCCGACTCTAAGTACTATTATACTATACCTATGATACTAACTCTGAGATTTCAGATACGAATCCACAGTGTTGAATACATCCAGACTTGTTGTGGTCTTGAGTTCTTTTCAACAGAAGAATTGGTCTATTATTATTTTGTATTGAGAAAATGAATGAAAACTAAGAGCTGGCATTTTCCAAGGGGTGATTTGAGCCTAAAAGGGCTGAGAGCCACTGCCCTACATACAATGTTGTCTGCGACATGTTGGGTGGCTTTGGGAGGTCAGCTCAGTGCAGCGTGCCTCAGTTTTTCCATTTGTAGGACATAGAGATGAATGAAGTCTCTCAGATCCACTCCACTTTGCCAATTGCTTTTACTTTTAGATAGAAAACCCCCCTGGGTTAAGCTAGGGGTGGGCAAAATGCAGCCCAGGGGCTGGATGCAGCCTGCCAGGCCATTGTTACTGGCCTGTGGTGCCCCTAAAAAATTTAGAAAATTAGTATTAATCTGCCCTGGGCTGCCCATCATGTGGCCCTTGATGGCTTGCCAAAACTCAGTAAGCGGCCCTCCGCCCAAAATAACTGCCCGCCCCTGGGTTAAGCTGTGATTGCCCTGTCTGCCCCGAGTAGGAGACAACAGAGCTGGATACTGCCAAAATAGCAGTCTGGGAGCTGAACTGTAATTCCTCTGGAATGGAGAAACTTTCTGTGAAGCAGTTCGCTCCTTCCCTCTACTCTGGCTGGCAACTACAGGAGGTCCCCTTGCGTGGGTGCATCTAGGATGTTGAAAAAGGGGATGCAGATGGGCTGGTGCATCATCATCTACAACACAACAGATTCTTCACCAGTTAAAAAGAAACTCGAAGCCTTACTAACAACAAGCTCGAGGCCGAGGGGCATAGTATTCAATTTAAGATCCAAGAAGCAGCAAATATGAGCTCCTTGGAACGTGCATTCACATTCAAAAGCGCAACAAACCAGGCCAAAAACAATCCGATGACGTAGCTTATTTAGTCCTCTCGTTACCAAAAGCAAACGTACCGGGCGGCGCCTCCAAACGCTTCCCTGAAAGCGAGCTCCGCACCCGAGCGGACGTCCACCTGTTTCCACACCTAAGGCCGTGCTGCGTGTTTTGGCTCGTGCTAAAAAACTGCCCGCAGGGCTGTGACGTGGGAGTGCGTCCAGAGGTGCAGCTCCGAGCAGAATCGCCAGAGAAAGAAGCACTTGCTTAAAACAAAGGAGGAGAGAAGGCTCTTACACCTGTGGGAGACGGGCTGGGATGGATCCCGAGGAGCCCCACAGCCTAGGGGCAAGCAAGGCGGGGCTCAAAGCGGGGGGGCTCCGTACCCCCTTGCTGGAAGGGGCCATCCTTCATTTGCTACCCCGGTTTGCTCAGCCGCCTGCTTCCAGGCCCGGGGCTGCAGGTGTGGAAAGGGGTAGTCACGCGGCTCCGGAGCCGGCGCTGGTCCAGGCCTCGGAGTGCGGCCCCGCCCCGGAAGGGGGCGGGGCCGCGCTACCCGGAAGTGGTGCGTGGACCTCGTGGGCCGCTGCAGTTATGGCGGAGCGCATCGAGCAGCGCCTGGAGGAGCGTATCCCCGAGCTGGAGCAGCTGGAGCGGGTTGGGCTCTTCACCCGCCTCGAGATCAAGTGAGGGCGGCCGGGAAGGGCCAGGAGATGGAGGCTGAGCTGGGCAGGGCTTCATCTCAGCCGGGGCGGGGCGGGGAGGAGGCAGAGATCAGCCCTGGCCCAGGCTGCTGGGAGAGTGGGGGCAGGCTGGAGCTCAGGGGTAGGTATTTTCCTCTGGACTCGGTGCAAAAGGGAAAAAAACCTGTTAGGTACTGCGGCCGTCTCGGCCCCCAGGCTGGGCAGGGAGAGGGTCGTCTCTGCTGGGTGGGGGAAAGCTGCCTCTTGCCTCTTCTGAGCCTGTCGGAAGAGCGAGGTGCTCTGGAGCCAGCCCAAGACCTAGCGAGCCGCGCGGAGGTGGCGCTGGGATGGCAGACGGGCCAGCTGGCGGCACGCTGCTTCCTTTGTTTGCTGTCGGAGGTTGTTTCTCTCTGCCCCCTTGGGATAAAGGAGCAAAATGAAACTCAGACCCCATGCCACTGTAAGCTGCCGTGCTCTTTAGCCCTGTCGCTTGTCAGGTAGGCATTTGGCTGGGGTCATCTGACCCCACCGCTTTTTCCTGCCTAGACAGGGGGTCGCACTCCATGATTTGTTGAGAGCCCCCTAGCATCTATGAGTTGTCAGGGACTCATGAGAGGATGTCTGG